AGCAATTAATTGAACACTCAAGGTAAGCAATTAATTTAACACTCAAATTACCTTTTTTTTTTAATTTTCAAATTTATCGTGATTTTGTGTGTTTGGGATTAGATTGGGCAATGGTGCATTGGTAGAAGAGGGTAGGAGTTGCTGGGACTTAAATTGAGAGACAAGAGATGAGAGTGAGACTTGAGATTTTTGGAGACAAGTAGATAGCACACACTAGAAAAAAAAAAAACTAAGAGATGGGGATGAGGATGAAGGTTTGGAGGAAAAAATTATTGAATGTATAAGGTAAGGGGATGAGAAGTTGTGTGGGTTTGTACAATTTAGTCAAGAGGTAGAGGAAGTAGACTTGAGGCTATTGTTGTTGAAGATTGCCCACAACATGGAGGCTGCCAAGTTTGATTTACTATAAACTCATAGAAAGCAATTCTCTTGGCCCATAAATAGTAATGCTCTTACTTAATTTATGAATATCTAATCACTTATTATTTGATTTATGCATAAAATAATTTGGTAATAATTTGATGAGTATGGTAATTAAATAATTAAATATATCATTCATTATGATTATTTATTTTTCACATGTTTATTTATCTTTTGTTATTGTCTAATTATCATATGAATAATTTTTTAAATATGAATATTTTAGTATAAATATTTTTTCTTAAATAAATAAAACACATGATATGATATAAATTACTTTAAAAATCATAAAATAAAAGGTTTTATGATTAATAATTAAAATTATTATATTTTATAGCAAGTTGAGCAAAATTTTAAAATTTTACAATCGTGATAGCCGCAATAACTGTGAAAGTCTCCGTTATATCCGCAACCGTGACAAACGCGACACGACCGAAAACATGACCATTACTACAATTTAAATCCCTGATGGTAGCAGCAAGAGGCCTTGCTTTTGTTAAAAAGAGGGGTTTTTCTAACATCATTTTGGAAGGTGATGCTCTTACCATTGTTAAGAAATTGAACTCTTAGAAACGGGATCTCTCTCCCATTGTTGTGATAATAGACGAATCCAAAGACTTGATAGCAAAGTTTAATTTGTGCAGTATTACCCACTTCAAGAAAGGAAGAAATGAACCAACCCATAGTTTAGCGAAATATGTATTGGACAACCAAATTACTAGGTAGTGGATAGAGGAATGCCCTGAGTTAATTCATAGCAATGTACTTATAGATGTTGGTTTTACAATTTAATCAATGGATGACTTTCTTTTTAAAAAAAAAAAAAGGATTTGTATCCGTTATTTGATGTAATGAAATTAAATTTTCACACTTGATTTTTGTTCTTACTTTTAGATGTGAAATTGGGGTGTAAAGTATTGTGTAAGGCAAATTATCTCACATTCTAACAATGTTAGAATAAAAAGTTTACTTGATCAATAAAAAACACCATGTCTTTTAATATATAATTCTCACATTATTTTTTGGTAAATTTTCTTTAAAATAATCTATTTTAATTGTAATTTTTAAATTAAAAAATGAAATTCAATAAATAAAAAATTTTAAGAAATTGAAATTAAAGATTAAATAAAAAGAGTAATTGATGAGAGAGAAGGAAGAGGAAAAGAAAACAAGAGAAAAAAAAGGGATAAAAAGAAGAGAAGACACTACAAGAAAATTACTCTACATTAACACTAAAAAAACTTTAGTAAAACTTAAAAATCCATCAGTATAGCATAATAAACCCTATACTGAAGGTTAAAATATGTATGACGATGAATTTTTAACCGTCATTATATCCCTTATCGATATAGACATATACTGATGGTTTTTAAGCTGTCGGAATATGTAACAAAGATATACTGATGGTTTTAGTCCGTCACTATATGTATAGTTGTTGGTATAGCAACTATTATGTGTTTCACATTATACCTTTTACCGACGATTATTCCCATCAATATAGACTTGTATGTTTTAATTTTTCAACTTATACTGATGATATCTCCATCAATATATCTTTTACCTACGATCAATGCTCGTCAGTGTAGCCTTATGTGTTTTAACTTTTATCAATAATCCGTGATGACTATCAGTATAGCCAAAAATATTTCAATAGTAAAACATGCCAATATAAATTTTAAAGCGTGGCTAAAAATTTTTTTTATTATATTTTCAATTATTAATATTAATTTATTTATAATCATAATATAATATAGTTTCATATGAAGTAAAATACACAAAAAAGTAAAAATATTTAATAACATTTGAAATAAAAGAACAACCAAATTGTTTTATTATCCACAAATTTAAAATAAGTCAAGAACAAACGCTATTATACCAAATCAAAAAAGGAAAGAACATTTTATATCTATGAATGGTATAGCCCAAGTTGATAGTGTATCTAGTGAGCGATTCAGCATACTAGAATTCCAAGCTCCTATGGCAGAATTGTTTAGACCTACAGTCCTCCCATTTAATGCATTTAAGCTAAAAATGATTGTAGCCTTGTGCTGGAAATAAAAGGCATTGGATTTAGGTAAAAGGCAACTTTTATCTAGCTGTTTAAATATTAAGAAATAGACAAATTACAAAGTTTATGAAGATGGTAATAAATTTTACTTACCTAGATTTTCTAAAGAAAATGTTGAGTTCATCCCATCCAGACATGGGTAAGCAATTAGAGAAACCAGACATCTCTGCCATCTTTTACAAATTTTGACCAAATAGAGAAATCAAAGCCAGTGCCATTCGAAGGACAAAAAAAAAAGGCATACTTGATGACACAAATTAAAACACAAAAAATAAAAAATACCTGTGAGAAATGACGAAAGTCTTGATGCTTCAACTTTGATTCAACTCTAAAAAAAAAAGTTGTCGATGGGTTTAAGCTTGTATAGTCGGTGAAAGGTGGTGAGAGATAGAGAGAGTTGGTAGGAGGTAGAGGTAAAGAAAATTTTGAATGGGTTTATTCATGGCATTTATGGTAAAAAATGCCTTCAATAATTCTAAAAAATTTTTATAAGCACCAAAAAGCCTCTTCCCAAAATTTTTTGTATGGATTATTGAAGGCGTTTTTGACCAAAAATACCTTCAATAATCTCTTCCAAAATTTTTATATGAGATTATTAAAGATAAAAAATGCCTTCAATAAACCCCTTAATAAATTTTTATGAGGGATTATTAAAGGTATTTTTAGCCAAAAACGCTTTCAATAATCCCTTCATAACTTTTATAAAGGGAATATTGAAAGTGTTTTAGGTAAAAAATGTATTTAATAATATCTTCAATAAATTTTTAAGAAGGATTATCGAAGGTCTTTTTGGAAAAGTACCTTCAATAATCCCATTCAATTTTTTGTCAGCTAATAATTTTTATGTTTTGAGCCTATACTGATGATTACATTAATAACCGTTAGTATAAAACATATTTATATTGATGAACAGCTATATACTATCAAAAAAATTTATTTATACCGACGATTAAATAAAGTGTTGGTATAAGTATAGTACATTCTGATGATATTAAAAATCTATCAGTAAAAGTCTTATTTATTGACAGAATTTGACCGTCAGTAAATAATTCATATAAAAAATATTTTGTATGGATTATTGAAGATATTTTCAACCGAAAACGTATTTAATAATTTCTTTTCAAAATTTTGTGAATGGATTATTGAAAGTTTTTTTACAAAAAATATTTTCAATAATCCTATTCAATTTTTTGATAACCAATAGTTTTTTTTTTAGCTTACATTGATAGTTACGTCAATAACTTTTAGTATATAATATATTTATATTGACGGATAATTATATATTATTAAAAAAAATTTATTTATATCGACGGTTAAATAAAGTGTTGATATCAATATGGTATATTCAGACAATATTAAAAATTTATTAATAAAAATCTCTTTTACTAACGAGATTTAATCGTCAATATAATCAAACATCAGAATGTAAAAAAAATTTTATAATGAGAGGTGGGTTGATCGAAGGAGCATCAATTGACTCAAGCAAATTGGCATCAATCTATCTCGAATGAACTTGATTTATGGTTGCCTTCTTCGTCACCCATCCCTCATCTCTAATCCCTCCCTTTTTTGTTCTTTCTGATTTCTCATTTTCTCTCTCCCCAATTCCTCTATTTTTTTTTTTTGTATTTTTGAAATTTTTTAAGATTTTAAATATTTGAAGATTTTTTTAATTTCAAAAATGAAATAAAAAATTCAAAATTGCTGGTAAAGTGGCAATGGCATAGCGTTTATGAGTTGTCTGACTAAACTATTTCCTAACAGATCGTTTTTTATTGGCAACGTAATCCGTGTCAGCTTTGACTTTAATAATATTAGTTTTAGGATAATTTAGTTAAAGAAATAAATATAAATTTAAGTATCTACTTATGACTTTTTTAAATAATCATATATATATATATTATACCATATAAAGATGCTTAATAAGGTTTGCGATATGAACATTTAAATGGACATTTTTATTTTGTTGACACATGAATAATACTAATTATATATAATTTAAATTTAAATATCAAAATTTTTAAAAATAAAATTTTATCCAATTTATTTCTAATTAATTCTCTATTATTTTTGAAAAAAATAAAAAATCTCAATAAGTTATAATAAAAATATAACTCTTAAAAAATTAATCTTATTTTATTAAAATTTCACTTAAGATATTTCTTTTTAAATTTAAAATTTTAAAATGAATATTCTTACTTTGGTAATTTCTTTATAATTCTTTAGTTTTTTTTTAAATTTTAAGATATTTGTAATCAATTTATTATTATTTGATGTTTTAATTATAATATATTATATATTTTTTAAATATATAAATAATTAAATAATATTAATTTATATTTTTATACATATTTAAATAAACAAAAACAATTCGTATATAATAAAAAAATACTAATAAATATATATTTTGCTAACAAATTATAATATATTATTTTTATCAATTTTTACTTAGATTAAAACAAGAATTTTTAATCTGTAAGTACAAATTGACAGAAATAACATTGATAGGAGCCAAATGAATATTTTTTTTCATTTTTCTTACGCGATCCTAATTCCCAAGTGACTTGGGAAAGAAGACAGAAAGGATCGACTGTCCAATCTTTTTCTTTATTCTGATATGCTATAACTTCCCTCTTTGAATCAAAGTATCGAATGGTTTATGTCTGATCACTGTTGAGTGAATCAAGCTTGAATCTATCAGTCAAAACCCCCAAAAACTGAAAAGAAAAGAGGGCAAGAAGAAAAACAGAACAAAAGAAGAAAAATAAGGCTTGGAGTGAGCGGGAGATGAGATGATACTACCATTTGTAAAGCTAGGAGCCCTTGCACTAAAAACCGCTTGCAAACCCATCGCTAATCGTCTCAAAAAAGAGGCTGGTTTACATCCCAGGTTCCGCCAGTTCATCATCAACATTGCCCAGGTTTCCTTTCGTTTCTTTCCCTTTCCTTTTTTCATTTTCTGGGTTGTTGTTATTGTTCTTATCCAGTTTATTTTTTGCTGATTCTCGGAGCTGTTTGTTTTTATTTCTTTGGCGTTTCTACTATTGGGTAGCTGTATGACCTCTGATTAACGTTCCCCCATCCATCCTTCAATTATGGTTTTGATTATATTAAGTTTTTCTGATTTCAATTTGTAATTAGTTTTATTCCTCTTATCCTCCTGAGTGATACCATAGATTTTAACACTTTTAAGTGAGTATATTTTGACTTCTCAAGTCTTTTGTTGCTCTGTCATTAAGCTTTTAAAGTCTGATCGACATCTATTTATTTGGATGCTTCAGCTGCTGTTTGTAACTTGACAGGCTGATAATTAGCACAAATCTGCCATTAATGTTTAGTCTGTGACTTTGGTGAGATGTTGGTAGTTGTATGCATTCTATAGACAGTTTCTTGTCCATAGTCCAATGCTGCTTCTTCTTGGATTTCTTCCGAGTGGGAGGGACTACTTATGCATGTTGGACGCACATGCTTTCATTGCATCTTCTTTCCGTTTTTGTACAGTACCTTATATGTTCTATTCTGTCTTCTCTGACTCAGACTTATGGTAAGATTTGTTATCAAATGATGGAAATGATCTGAACCTTTCTTGCTATAATCTTCAAACTTGTTATTTAGTTCAATTTTATGTGGTTGCTCCACTCCCGAAAGAAAGGGAGGAAGATGCCTTTTATTTCTCACATTTGTAGAATATGTAGTCATTCTTTCTTCATTTTAAATTTGGATGTTTTGCTTTTGATATTGGAGCAGGCAAATCATCGATTTACGACCAGAATGCAAAGACGTATTTATGGTCATGCAACTGATGTTGCAATACGCCCTTTGGATGAGGAGAAAGCTGTCCAAGCTGCTGCAGATCTTCTAGGGGAGCTCTTTGTATTCACGGTACTTTAAAGTCACACTTTTGTCTTCTGGGTCTTGATATTTTGTCTAGCTTACTAGGGTCCGTAATTAAATTTTCTTTCATGTATAGTTTGGGTTCACGGCTTTCAGTGTGGAGTATTAGAAAACAGAGCCCCCTGACATTTTTTTTTCTGAAAAGGGTTGACATTTTTGCTTGTTCATGGTTTAGGCTCTATTTGCCTAATGTTCTGATGTTAAAGACTGAATGCCAAAATTGAAAAGGTTTGTTGGTGTGGTATTAGAACCCTGACCACTTATGGTCTGAATTTCCAGTTTCTGTAGTTTACTTGGGTATGGCATTACAAAATTAAATGGAAAAGGGAAATATATTTCCAAGTTTTTTATGATACATTGTGAAAACTTAAGCATTTTTTCTTTAAAATGACATTAAGACACCCCCCCGGGTAAACACATACCAGTGGCTTTTCCTTTATGATCATCTAGCTATGGTAGAAACTCATACACTCTTTACTCTTACTGAGCCACATGATTGTAGATAGGACCATAACTAGTCAAGAAGGGAAGATGAATGTTTGGTTGCTCTCACATTTTATCCAGTTAATGTTAATGAACCGTGAGTTCCCACCAGCAAATCTTCTAAGAAAAGTGTATTCAATGGTAGACAGTTCAGAAAGATACTAATAGCTTGTTGGGTGAATAGAAACACCAGGATATATATATATATATGTATATATGTATAAATATATATATATATACATATATGTATATATTTATACTTATATTCACCTCTCTACTGTTTGCTGATGAATTTTACTCTCATATATAGCATAAGGGTGAAGCATCTTTGACTGATACTTTTTCCACTTTAATTCCTACACAGCTAATTGTACTAAGCTTTTTTTTTTTTTTTCATCCTGTATTGAGATTGAATAATCTTATCCTCTCTCTCTCTCTCTTTAGGTTGCAGGAGCTGCTGTTATTTTTGAGGTGCAAAGAAGCTCCAGATCCGAAGCAAGAAAAGAGGAGCAGCGCAAACAAGAATTTGAGGTATTTGTTTTATCTCCAATTGAGGTTATTTCTCTAATGGATATCCTTCTCTCTCATATGGTGTTCTTTTTTGTTGTTTAATGTATTGATTGGTAAAAGGGCAAACAAATGAACTGTATTGATTGGCAATGACTACATCTTTCTACAATGTTTTTTTGAGTGTGGAGGAATTGATTTTTACTACTGAACATCAGTGGTTTCATCTTGTAATGATCAGTTTTGAAGTGATTAAATTTTATTGACAGATTAATTTTAAATTTGTGTTCGTGTGATTATGCTTGTTGCCATCACAGAGAGGCAAATGCATATAGACTATTGGTTATTAATAATTCATGATTTATCCTTTGTTTGCTGTCTAGACAATGAAACAAAGAGATGAAGATTTAGCACGAGAAATTGAGCTGCTTAAAGTAAAAATTGAAGAGCTTGAACAACTAGCAAGAGGACGAGGACTTGTTGGTATATTCCACTCCAAGCATGCACATGGCACAGAAGATGGAAAAGCCAAGCCCTCTTGATTATTGCAGGAACCATGTTCAGCTAAAAAATTTCTATGTGAGAACTAATTTACCTGAGTTTAATTTAAATAGTACACGTGTGGAAATTTTGGTTACATTTAACAATACTATGTTTTAATGTAACATTAGGATACATGGGTAATGAAAGTACATATTATTCACTCCTTGTTCCTTAAATTTATGTCGCAGGTTTTTTGTGGAGAATCAGTGACATCCGGGGAGTAGAATTTTCTCTTCGACACCTTGCTATAAATAACATGGCAAGATATCAATTCTACAGACTAACAGCATTTTGTTGTATTGGAGTTGATTCTGAAATTCTTCAGCTTGTGCTGAATTTAGTTTGATTTGGACATCTGGGAATTGGAAAGTTCCATTTTAGTTCAGGTTCAGTATTTGATTTAACGGTTGCTTCTAGTTGCCTGTGAAACATGATGGCTTGATGTTGGATATCGGATTGTGGTGCTTGTCATTTTATGAAGGCTACAAAGCATTGCAGGCCATTATGATATAAGTTCTTTGCATTTGCAGATGAGACATGGATTACTATCCTATATAGTTAAAAAACTCCAATGATTTGAGTTCATTTATTAATCTGAAAAGTTAATGTAGTTTTGTTATTTATAATTAACACATGACAAGACAAGTATACAGGTCCTACAGGCACCCATCAAATTTTTTGATTTCATCATTCATATGTATAAGATAATAATTCATGATAAAATATTTAATAAAAGAAAAATAGCTAAATGAAGTAATAAAACCCACAATAAATCATGTAAATTTTTTGTTGCATTACTCGAGGGCGAATTCCACTACCTCTTCCATAGAACAGATCTTTCAGATCCCAGAAAAAAAAAAATAGTATTATCTTGAGAAAATTTTGGTTGAAATTTGAATTTGATAATTTTACCATCTCAATTATATTTTTTATTCTCTTTATAGTAACCCTACTTGGTAATGCATTGAAAATTTTCATTGAAAAATTTTTTTTAAAAATTTTATTTTTTCAACGTGAATGATAATGCATTTTAAAATTAAACTTTTTCATTCAAAATGTGCTGAATAAGATAAGTAGATAAAGACATACTAATCATTTAATGTACAAAACATTTAGAAAAATTTTCTTTTAAAATTTTTTGAACTATTATCCCCTAAAAACACTACTTTATTATCTATAATAAAAATAAAAGTAAAAATGTAAAATAATAAATTTTCAAAATTTAATATTTTATAGTTATCAAACAATATGTTTATATTCGACATTTAATTTTCACTAAAATATCAAATATTTTTTATAATTCAAATTCGGCATTATCAAATTTAGTATTAAAAATTTATACTTATTTTTTAAGTACTTAATTGTTCAGTTTATCAAACATAACTTTAGTCTCTCACCTTTATAAAATTCAATATAAAGACAATTTTAAAAGTATTAAGATTTTATTATTTAGCACCACCACCCTTTCTCTAGAAGATATGGTCTAGGGAGAGGTCTTAACATGATTGGATGCTGTAATTAAGTGTGGAGCGATAATTATGAACATTTGAATTAAGGTTCACTTGAGATAGTCAAGCTGTTGACTATAACTCGACACTTCATAGGAGACAACCCAAACTTTCTTACTTTTGTTGCTTTTATGATTTCTCTTACATTTCATTTGCTTAATGTTTGTTGTTTCTTTGTTTTGTAAGTATTTCTTTTGTTTTGTAGGTAGCAATAAAGGCAGCTAGGAGCTTCAATGAAGATTTTATGGAGATAGAGGAGTTTCTTTTAACCTTATACACTTTAATTCTTTTTATTTACCCATTGAGAAGAATTCATTTTTCAAGTTTAGGGGGTAAAAAAATTTGCTCAAAATTTTCAAAAATTTTTCATGAAAATGTGCTTAAATGCTTTTGCATGAGTCATTATTATGCTTCATTTAGTTAGTTCCAAGGATTTAAATGACGGTCATATCGCATTTATCGCATTTTCGGATATAACGAAGATCATTGCTATCATCAAAGTCATCGTAGTCATGAATTTTTTTTTAGTTTACACAATTTATTATAAAATGTGATAATTATAATTATAATCATAAAAACTCTTATTTAATGATTTTTAAAATCCTTATATATATCATATTAAATTATTAATCTCTTAATTTTTTTCAATTATAAAATCTCAATCTCTCTAACTAAATTTGATCTAAAAATATTTTAAAAATTATAAAGATTTAAATTTATATTTTAATAAAATTAATTATAAAATTAAATAAAATCTACCCACCCCACCCACCCTACCTCCGAATACACCCCACCACACTTCTATCTTAGCAGCCCCTCCACTCATTCCTTGATGCACCCTCAAACACCCCCCAAATTTCCCCAAAAATTCCCCTTGTTCTTCACACCGTCGCCTCGCCTTAGCCCTTTAGCCCTCTCTCAAATCAACTCAACCAATCTTATCAAGTCTTTTTGTTTTCCCTTTCTTTTTCTGTATCTCTCTCTCTTGCATACTCTCGTCTCTCTCACTCAGATTCTCACAAACACAAAGATCAACATTATTCTATAAAAATTTTACAAAAAAAATGTAATTTAATTTCTTTCTTATCTTTTTTTTTTATTTTGATTGTTGATTGAAGATTTAAGGTTAATTTGAATTTAGGTAGCTGCCTGTCGATTGAATGGGTGATATTGTTTTTTAAGTTTTTTTAGACTGATTTTGAAAATTGAAATTGAGAATATAACGAGTTTTTTTTTTTTTTTTTGCTTTTGTTTTACTTTTGCTTTTGCAGTCTTAGTTGTTTGTAGATTGTGCTGAAAGTTTTTTTTTTATTTTGTACTGATCACTGATGATGGAAAAATGAGATAGCAGCAATAACAGACCATTATTGTTGGTATTTTTCGTTACACCATTTTTTAACGACTATTACACATCGTTTTAAGTGTGATTAAAATTTTTAGCTGTTTTTTCCTTGATAGCAGTGGCGGGTGGTGACGCGACCACAATTTTACGGCTGCTATTCTGCTATAGCACTGTTATTTGAATCAGTGGTTAGTTCTTTATGATCTAATGATCAGTAGATAATGAAAATAAATATAGCTCTAAGAAAAGATTGAGTATTGTGCAAAATATGAGATGGATCCCTAAATTAGTGACTTTTTTATTAGGAGTTTCCATTTGTGAGTTATATTTTGATAATTGAATTGTATTTTTTATCTAGTAAATTATTATGAGTATGAAATTTTTTTGCATTGATCTTTAAAAGTAGTGTTTCATATTCTAGAATTTATTTTCATTATCTCTCAAGTCTGAAATCCTAGAGGACACTTGATTGAGAGATGATATAGGTCATCCTTGAATCGATTGAGCATTTTAAGTCTGTTTTGATTAAATTTTTCCATGTCATCCCTTTTGAGCCTAATGATATCCATTCTTTGTTATGCAACCATATTATGAAGCCAAGTCTTATTTTATACTTCCTATCTTTTGGTCCTTATCTTATGGGCATAAAAATTATTCATACATTATCTCTAAGCTATGCAACATTTGGAAGGAATGATGAAGATTGGAAAAAGAAAGAAAAATAAAAGCAAGCTAAAAATAGCTTGTCTTAAAAAAAAATTATAGAAATGAAAAAAGAAAACAAAAGAAAGAAGAAAGGAAATAAGTGGTGTAAAAAACAAAGAAAAGGAAAGGAATGAAATGTGCAAAATGCAAAGTGTAAAAGTGTGATAATTCTATAATTTTATGGAATTATCATATGATTTAATGGTGATTTTCGCTTGATTCTTAAATAAATTCATGAAAGTATACTCCTAATTAGTAATTTTTTTCATATGTAGGTAAAATATATGAAAATAAGGAAAATGAGTCAAATGTGCTTAATTTGGAGTAATTTTGGATCAATTTGCAACTAAATTAAGCTGAGTGGCCAAACCTAGTGGTTATTAGAGGAGAAACCAAGTTTGCAAGGCCTTGGAGCTGAGTTGAGCTAGCTAGATGTACTTTGGAGCGTAATTCTAAGATTTCAAGGTTGGTTCTAAGTTACTAAATGTGAATGAAGTCAATTGAGTTAAAGGAAGGAGGAATGAGTTGAAAGGAAATTACTTGCCATCTCAAAGAAATTGGTAGCTTGTGTTGTGCGGTTTTGTAGAGTTGTTTGGTGCTGGTTTTGGATTATTTTTGGCCAATAAAAGTATGGCTGAGTTGGCATTTTCATTTACTCTTATTGGTTAACATTGGAGCTCAAGAAGCATAAAAAAATTAGGTCAATTTGAAGTTGTAACGGGTGGCAATTCTAGTTGGCAGATTTGGACTAGTTGCAAGTATCAAGTGTAAATGCAAGCTTAAAGCTCCAAGATTTGAGGAGAGGAGTAAGTGGCTGATATGGCATTTTGAAGACTTCTCATTGGCTGATTTCTAAAATACTTGGATTTCTAAAAATGAAGCTTAAATGCCTTGAAGAACTGAAGAAACAGAAGCTGTCCATTTTGAGGAGCAAGTGATGGTTTTCACTTCTATGGTCTATTTGGCAGTTGAGGTGGCAATTTGGAGGCTTCCCATTGCTCCATACATATCACTTGCCTATAAATACCTCCTCTTGTTGCTATTTGAAGGAGAAGAGTGTTAGGAAAGCAAGAGAGCTATTAGAGTAGCATTAGATTAGTAGTGTAGAGCTACTTTCTTGCACATATTCTTTCTATCCAAGAACTTTCATTTTTTCTTTGATTTTCCAGCACTCTAATTTCTCTTTTAACTATTCTCTACTTGAAATTTAATGTTCTTTGAATTTACAATCAATTTCCTTCTAATTTTCTTTTAAATCAAGTTGAATTTTCTGTTTCCTTCACTTTCTTACATTATTTTTCTTGCAAATTTTCTTTCAAGAACTTTAAATTTCATGAAATTTATAGTGTTCTTAATGCAATTTACATTTTTACTTGCTTTTCTATTCAATTTCTTGTAATTCCATTAAGTTCTCAAATTTGTTTGACACTTTTCTCTTCCAGCACTGAGTTTTTGTTGCGATATTAAGCTAAATTTTTTACTGCATAATTTAAATTAATAGTTCTTCAAATCTGGAAATTTTTAGCATTAAATTCAATCTATATTTTTGTAAAATCTTACAAGTTTCAAGTCGGTTGCTAGCAGCAGAAGAGGCTTTAATGGTAATAACACTTATAGTGGCTTTTTCTCTTTGCTAGGAGTTTGACCATTTCTTTTTCCTTCTTCTTACTTGTTATTTCATGTGTCTAAATGTATATTTACATTTTCTTGCAATTTATTTAATGCATTTACATGTTTCTTTGTTGGTTTAATTGTTCATTCCTTTGTTTTTTCTATTTTAGTTAGTGAATTTTAATTGAGTTCATTGAGCTTATTCTTTTTTTTTTTAATGTTTTTGAGCTGATTTCTTTCTTTAATTTTGCAATTTACTTATTGAATTTCATGCTTTTAGTTATCTTAAGTTCATTTTCTTGTTTGATGCTTGGATATAATTTTCCTTTTACTGTAATTTCAAATTCTATTTTGAGAAGTTGATTTTGGTTTTTGATCTCTTATTTGATTTCTTGTATTTTTCATGTTTTGCTTTCA